CCTGTAGTTCCAGCGACCTGGAGGGCTGAGGTGGAAGGATCACCTGAGCCTAGCAGATTGGGGCTGCGGTGGCCATGAGTGTTCCACTGCACTCCAGCCTGGGCAACAGAGTGAGACTCCAACTCAAAAAAAAAAAAAAAAGCCAGGTGTGGTGGTGTGTACCTGTAGTCCCCCACCTACTTGAGAGGCTGATGCAGAAGGATAGCCTAAACCCAGGAGGTCAAGACAGAGGTGGAACAGAGGGAGACAGAGGTGGCACAGAGCTGAGACAGAGGGAGACAGAAAAAGACAGGTGAGACAGAGGAAGACAAAGGGAGACAGAGGGAGACAGAGGTGAGACAGAGGAAGACAAAGGTAAGACAGAGGGAGACAGAGGGGGGACAGAGGCAGGACAGAGGGAGACAGGACAGACAAATGTGGGACAGAAGGAGACAGGTGGGATAGTGGTGACAGGAAGACAGGAGGTGTGACAGGAAGACAGGTGACAGGAAGACAGGTGACAGGAGGTGACAGGAAGACAGGAGGTGACAGGAAGACAGGAGGTGTGACAGGAAGACAGGTGTGACAGGAAGACAGGAGGTGACAGGAAGACAGAGGTGTGACAGGAAGCAGAGGTCAGACTGACAGTGACAGAGGGAAACATGAGACAGAGGAAGAAGAGGGAGACAGTGGTGAGACAGAGGTGGGGCGGAGAGGAGACGGAGACAGGTGAGACAGAGGGAGATGGAGGTGAAACGGAGGGAGACAGAAGTGAGACAGACATGAGAGGGAGACAGAGGTGAGGCCAATGGAGACGAGGGAAACGGATGTAAGGCAGAGGGAGAAGAGGGAGACAGAGGTGGGACAGAGGTGACAAAGAAAGAGACAGAGAAGGCTAATCATTCTTCTTTAAAAAGTTGTAGTAAAATGGACATAGCATAAAACTTACCACTTTAACCATCTTCAAGTGTCCAATTCAGTGGCCTCTGCAATGTTGTGCCCTCAGCGCCACCATTCATTTCCAGAAGGTTTTCACTCAGAAAAGAAACTCTGGCCATTTAGCCATAACTCCCCACCTCACCTGCTCCCTCCTGGCTCCTGGTAACCCTCTGCTCTGCTTTTTGACTCTGTGAATCGAAGCACTTGTGCTTAATGACTATGTTTCAGGATGAGCTCAAAGAGGCCGCGAGGTGCTGAACTGGACCTGCCTCTCCCTTGAATTGACGGAAGGAGTGAGGTGTGGCCACCACCAGCTACCTGTGTTCCCAAAACACAGCCAACTTCCAACGCCCCCAGCCAGCACACTCTCCTTGGCCTCTGTGCCACCACGCAGGCCGGTCCCTCCACCTTTCCCCACCTCGCTTTCCTTGGCCAAGTGCGATCTCCAGTAAGCCCTTGCCAGTCGTGGCCATCTGTGGGGGTCTGGAGCCAATGCCTCACCCATGTGGCCCCCTAGGCCAGGGCTTCCGAGAGGACACCGACTGCCATCACCCGGGCGTCTTGTTAAAATGCAGATTCGGATGTAGGGAGTTGGCCAGGGCCCCAAGAGAGGCGGCTTGTTCCTGGATGCCCCTGAAGCACCAAGGACACGGGCGCCGCCCCACGACACACCTGCCACCGTGCCACCACACCCTGGCTGCTACTCCACCCCGCCACAGAGATCTTACTTTTGGGGGGGTGTTTGGAGTCTCACTCTGTTGCTCAGACTGGAGTGCAGTGGCCACTCCCGGCCACCGCAGCCTCGCCTGCTGGGCTCCAGCGATCCTTCCGCCTCAGCCTTCCGAGTAGCTGGAACTACAGGCGCGTGCTACCACGCCCGGCTGATTTTTGATTTGTTGTAGAGATGAGGTCTCACCAAGTTGCCCAGGCGGGTCTCGAACCCGCGGGCTCCGGCAATTCACTCACCTCAGCCTCCCAAAGACGCAGGATTACGGGCTGAGCCACCGAGCCCAACGAGATCTTACTTCTTATCACGTCCCCAAGCCCAGCTCAGCGCCTGACTCAGAGTGACAGTAAATGCCAGTGGGTGAATACATGGATGAACACAGTGGCTGGAGGGACAAGAAGGAGCCAGGTGTGTGAAGAGCCCCTACGCCATGCTCAGGAGCTCTGGGCGGATGCTGAAGGGTTTCCAGAGGGTGACAGGCCACGTGCTGGTGGGCGAGGGGCACGAGGTGTTGGAAGGACCCAGACTGAAGTCAAGGAAGCAATGGCCAATGGCTAAGAAGATCGCTGTTAAGGCCTGGACTGAGAAGGTGGTCGTGGGAATGGAGGTGAGGAAGCGAATACCAGATCACGTGGCTGGGCTCACCAGACACCCCCGTTCGCTTCAGACAGTCTATCCCGAGGGTAGGTATTGATAGTGTCCCTGTCACTCCCGGAAGTCCTGGTTGGGATGATAATTACCTGTTCACCATGTCCACAGGAGGTTAAAGTTACTAGAACACTGGGGGATGGGGGTGACGCAAGTGAGAAGTCCAGGGCAACTCGTGTGTTTCTGCCCTGGTGACCCAGCGGGTGGTAACCCCACTGACCAAGTGAAGCAATCCAGGAGATTAAGCGGTAGCATAAATTTCTCTTAAAAAAAAAAGTCGGGCTCAGTGGCTCAGCCTGTAATCTCGCACTTTGGGAGGCTGAGGTGAGTGGATTGCCTGAGCCCGCAGGTTCGAGACCCGCCTGGGCAGCGAGACCTCATCTCTACAATAAATAAATAAATAAATTAGCCGGGTGTGGTGGCATGGGCCTGTAATTCTGGCTACTCGGAAGGCTGAGGCGGAAGGATCGCCGGAGCCCAGCAGGTCGAGGCTGCGGTGGCCGGGAGTGGCCACTGCACTCCAGCGACAGAGTGAGACTCCAACTCAAAAAAAACAAAAAAATTAAGGCCGGACACAGTGGCTCACACCTACAATCCCAGCACTTAGGGAGGCCAAGGCAGGAGGATTGCTTGAGGCCAGGAGTTCCAGAGCAGCCTGGGCAACACAGTGAGACCTCATCGCCACAAAAAATAAATTAAAAATAAAATTTTTTATTTTCAGGCATGGTGGCTCACTCCTATAATCCCAACTCTTTGGGAGGCTGAGGTGAGAGGATTGCCTGAGCCCACGGGTTCGAGACCAGCCTGGGAGAAATGGTGAGACCTCATTTCTACAATAAATCAAAAAATTAGTTGGGGGTGGTGGTGCGTGCCTGTAGTTCCAGCTACTTGGAAGGCTGAGGCAGAAGGACTATCTGAGCCCAGCAGGTTGAGCTGTGGTGGCCGTGAGCGGTGTGACACCGCACTCCAGCCTGGGTGACACGGTGAGACTCCAACTCAAAAAAATAAAAAATAAATAACTAGGCATGGTGACGCATGCCTGCAGTCCCAGCTACTTGGGAGACTGAGGTGAGAGGATTGCTCCAGCCCAGGAATTCAAGGCTGCATGAGCTACGATCATACCACTGCACTCCAGCCCGGGTAACAGAATGAGACCATCTCCACCAAAAAAAAAGTTAGAGTCATGGCAAAGTATTAAGCACACTGCAGTACACAGCATGACAAGGAATTTCTAAGGAGGCACCCAGTTGGCCGAAGTCTGGAGCACTGTTTGAAGGCATCCTCAAATGAAAGCATCCTCCTTCCCGAGGCTCAGAATAGTCACTCACATCAGGAATCTGCCCCATGGACATCAGGCGGCGAGTCCAAAAGATCTCGTGTCCTAGGTTCGGATCTCCCTCCCCATTTTCTTCCCTTTGTCACTGCCGCGAATGCGCCAAACACTTGGATCCCGGTTGACCACGGCCACTGAGACAGTCCCTTTAATGACATACCACGCCAAGGCCAGGCTGAATCTGAAGAATGCAGCCCTTGGGCACACTGTCCTGAGTCGAAGGTCAAGGACACTGGCATGTTCCGCCCTATGTAGAAGCCTCGTGACCCAGGGTCCTTACGGATCTCGAGTCATGCTTGCCAACATCTCAGCCCATTTCTTCCCCCACGACCTCTCAGCAACTAGGTAATTATTTAATAAACCTCAGAACATACCTTTGTTTCTTCTCCTGGCCAGAGACCCGGGGTTTTCCCGGTTTCAATTTCAAGGTTGCTCTTACTTAAGGGTTCCAAATGCAGTCAAACGGAAGAATAAATTCACCTGCCAGAGCCTTTTGAGGGAACTTTAAAACAACACTGCAGCTTTTCAAGTATTAAAAGGAAATGAAAGACTCTACTAAGCCCGATACTCATTTTAATACACAGGTTAAAGGTTATGTTAGCAGCTGTCAAAGCTCTGGCCAATTCTAAACACATCACTCTTCGCCTTAAATCAGTGGTACCTGGAATGTGCAGCTCTGGGTTGACCCTGGGCAAAAGGCTTGCTCAAAAAAGTGATGTCCGTCTTCCGGGCGCTTCTGTCACTTGTGTTGCTATTAACCTGATGAGCAAGAGAGAACCAGAGGGTTGGAATCCAGGATGCCGGGTCTGTACCGCTTCCTGCTGCTACTTGAGACTCCAAAAAGACTAGACTGTGGGCTGATGGTTTCACAGCAAGTCTCTACATGTGACAAGATTGAGCGCCGAGGAAGGCAACCCAACCAAAAATGGGCAAAGGATCTGAACAGACACTTTTCCAAAAAGATAAACAAGTGAGGCCAGACGCAGTGGCTCATGCTTATAATCCCAGCACTTTGCGAGGCCAAGGTGAGAGGATTGCCTGAGCCCACAGGTTTGAGACCAGCCTGGGCAACTTGGCGAGACCTCATCTCTACAACAAATCAAAAATAAATTAGCCTGGCATGGTGGCCCATGTCTGTGATTTCAGCTACTTGGAAGGCTGAGGCAGAAGGTTGGCCTGAGCCTAGCAGGTTGAGGCTGTGATGGCTGTGAGCGTGCCACTGTACTCCAGCCTGGGTGACAGAGTGAGACTCAACTCAAAAAAAAAAAGAAAACAGAGTCTCAAAGAAATATTTGTACACCCATGTTCGCAGCAGCATTATTCACAATAGCTAAAATGTGGAAGCAACTGAAGTGTCCATCGACAGATGAATGGGTAAACAAAATGTGGTATAAATGTACAACGGAGACCAGGCACGGGGGCTCACACCTGTAATCCCAGCACTTTGGGAGGCAAAGGTAAGAGGACTGCCTGAGCCCAGGAGCTCAAGGTTACAGTGAGCTATGATTGTGCCACTGCACTCCAGCTTGGGTGACAGACTGAGATCCTGTCTCTAAAAAATAATTTTAGGCTGGGAGCAGTGGCTCACACCTGTAATTCCAGCTCTCTCGGAGGCTAAGGCAAGAGAAATGTCTGAGCCCAGGAGTTCGAGACCAGCTGGGGCAACTTAGGGAAACGTCGTCTCCCTAAGTTATAATAAATCAATTAGCCGGGCATGGTGGCGCACGCCTGTAGTCCCAGCTACTTGGAAGGATGAGGGGGAAGGATCACCTGAGCCCAACATTTTAATGTTGCGGTAACTGTGAACGTGCCACTGCCCTCCAGGCTAGACAACAGAGTGAGACTTTGACTTAAAAAACGTACAATGGAATATTAATCAGCCATAAAAAGGAAGAAAATCCCAGCACATACTACAACATGATGACCTCGAGGACACTACGCTAAGTGAAATAAGCCCATCGCAATAGACAAATGCTGTGTGATTCCACCTGTAAATCACAGAGACAAAGTGGAATAGTGGCTGTCACGGTTAGGGGAAGAGGGAATGAGGTGTTTAATGGGCACAGAGTTTCAGGGGTTCTTAATTTGTTTTTTCTTTTTCTTTCTTTTTTTTAGTCAGGACTTACTGTGTCACCCAGATTGGAGTGCAGTAGCATAACCACAGCCCATCACCGCCTAGAACTCCTGGGCTCATGTGACCCTCCCACCTCAGTCTCTGGAGGAGATAGGACTACAGGCATGCACCACCACACCTGGTCAATCTTTTAAATTGTTTGTAGGGAATGAGGTCTCACTATGTTGCCCGGGCTGGCCTCGAGCTCCTGGGTTCTAGTAATCCTCCCGCCCTTGACCTTCTAACATGCTGGGATTACAGGTGTGAGCCACCGTGCCCAGTCTAAAATTATTTTTTAGAGGCAGGATCTCACCCTGTCACCCAACTGGCACAATCATAGCTCTCTGTAACCTCGAACTCCTGGGCTCAAGCAAACCTCCCACCTCAGCCTCCCCAGTACCTGGCACCACACCACTACGCCTGGCTAATATTTTTCTTTATATTTTTGTAGAGACGAGGTCTTGGTATGTTGCTCCAGCTGGTCTCCAACTCCAGGCCTCAAGGGATCCTCCCAGCTTGGTCTCCAGAAATGCCAGGATTACAGGGCATGAGTCACCATGCCCAGGCCAGAGTTTCAGTTTTACATAATAAAAAGAGTTCTGGAGATGGACGCTGGTGATGGTTGCACAATATTATGAGTGTATGTAATACCACTAAACCATGCCCTTAAAAATGGCTAAGAGGGTAAACTTTATGTGATGTGCGTTTTACCACAATTTTTTCTTTTTTTTTTTTTTTGAGTTGGAGTCTCACTCTGTCGCCCAGACTGGAGTGCAGCGGCCGCTCCCGGCCACCGCAGTCTCGACCTCCTGGGCTCCGACGATCCTTCTGCCTCAGCCTGCCGAGTAGCCGGAACTACAGGCGCGCGCTACCACGCCCGGCTGATTTTTTGATTTATTGTAGAGACGAGGTCTCGCCAAGTTGCCCAGGCAGGTCTCGAACCCGCGGGCTCAGGCAATCCACTCACCTCAGCCTCCCAAAGGCGCGGGATTACAGGCTGAGCCACCGAGCCCAGCTACAAATTATAAATTTAAAGAAGAGATTATTAACCCTATAGTGAGAAAAGGAATCGATCCAGGAATGTGAGGAAAGAAGACTGTGAGGAGGAAGCCCTAGAAAGCGAGACAGAGCCAGGCTCGGTGGCTCAGCCCGTAATCCCGCGTCTTTGGGAGGCTGAGGTGAGTGGATTGCCTGAGCCCGCGGGTTCGAGAC